GTAAATAAAAATTGTTGTCACACTTTACTGAAGTAATGTTAACAGCAATGTTTCAGTAGAACCTGACTTGAGTTTGCAAGTACACATTTCTTTTCAAGCTGTCAGTCATAAAAAGTTGCATTTGCAACGACAACTTAATTCATTGCACTTGGAATGCAAATAGAAAGAGCGATATTCAGAAATATGTATACTAGTCAAAATAGCATTATCCTGTATGGTAAAAATCCCCTCTAAATATTTTAATCAGAACATATCTGCATCAGAGGTAATAATTTCAGTTTTATTCATCTACCAACCAGCTTGTCAATCAGCCCGGATGCGGATCAATTATTCAGGTTCATTTACTTGGGAGGAAAATCAGTCAATTCAGTATTCATTTAGTCACATACTCACATAGTTCACTCAATCGCTTACTGGACTCTCCAAATTCTGGATTGGTCCATTTTAGTATAACAACTTGACTACACCTTTGAGTAGTCATTCAGACAATTCAACACTCCACACTGAATACACTTTCGTTGTCCACAAACAATCTAGTGATTTTAATAAATAACATCTATTTCAATAATGACAGGTTACTGGCTTAATGCAAAAAATTAGTGACTTATAGACACTGATAAATTAACAGTTCAGAACCTAAATTATCAGTTACTCTTTACTTATGCCACAAACCTTGGCTCTAACTTATTATTTACTTGGTACTTTTTTTACTCGTACCATTTAACTACGATTACCTTTCAAATACTTAAGTGGCCTTTTACACGTTATAGTTACCTTTAATTTACTCCGGTGATCATTTATTAACCACAGTTACCTCAAATTTACTCCAGTGACCATTTATTAACTATAGTTACCTCAAATTTACTCCAGTGACCATTTATTAACTACATTTACCTCTAATTTACTCCAGTGTCAATTTATTAACTTCGATTACCTTTCATATACTCGAGTGACGTTTTTCATGTCATAGTTACCTCTAATTTACCCCAGTCCTCTAATTAACTACAGTTACCTTTCATAAACTCGAGTGACCTTTTTCATGTCATAGTTACCTCTTATTTACTCCAGTCCTCTAATTAACTACAGTTACCTTTCATATACTCGAGTGACCTTTTTCATGCCATAGTTACTTCTAATTTACCCCAGTCCTCTAATTAACTACAGTTACCTTTTCATATACTCGAGTGACCTTTTTCATGTCATAGTTACCTCTAATTTACTCCAGTCCTCTAATTAACTACAGTTACCTTTCATATACTCAAGTGACTATTTAATATAGTTCAATATATTTTACTATTGTGGCTCATTTATTACTACAGTTACCTTTAATACACTCCAGTTGCCATTTATACATTTCAAGTACCTGTCATGTGCTCTAGTGACTATATACGGTACAGTAACCTTACATTCACTCCAATGACCCTTGTACATGTACAGTATACTTGTTACTCCAGTGACCCATAACGCTACATTAACTTGATATTTTCTTTAGTTACAGTTCGTAGCTCAAATTACTCAATTGACAATTTAAACGCTACAGTTACTTCTCATAACAACATATTCAAGTGTTACTTATAATTTAATCTATATCATATAAAAACCTAATATTACAAAGTACAGTAACAAAGCAGGAATCATCACACTATTAATTGTTGTTATTTTACCCAGATGACGACTCATAATTTACAGTTTATTACCATTTACTCTAGCGATGGTCCATACACTGCATTTAATCCTCATTTACACTATTAGCTAGTTATAGGCTACACCACAGGTACTTGTTTTGTTTTTTAGTGCCAATTGATTTTTTTATCGTAGATTTTTCAAACTAACTCATTTTTCATTATATTGGTAATGCTTTTATCTACGACCGTTTTATAAAGTAGACTTATAAATCCACTTCTTGGAATTGAAAAGATTCATTTTACAGTAAGCCTATTGTTTATTTACTTTTCAGTAAGGTTTGGACCAATGAGGTTCAATAATTAAGAGACAAGATGTAGCATTGTAATTCTTTGAAATTCATCTTATCAGCTATTAAGAGTAGATTACTTTTAATTAAACAAAGACCGGTTGGGACAATAAGTCTTTGCATCACAATCAGTGGCAATGAGAGGTTATAAAAGAAAACAACCTCTCTCGGAAGTTCTGAGTAGTGGTATTTATTAATTAAGAAACTGTAGTAAGTAAAGTAGTGTTCACAACTCGCGTAATTAGCCTTTGTGACACTCGTAGAAGTTTTAAAGGCACTCGCCAAGGCTCGTACCTTAAATTTTCTACTCGTGTCGTAAAGACTATCATTACGTGATCGTTGCGTAAACTACTCACAACTATAAGACACGATAAGAATAGCCTGCTAACGTTGTTCTTATTATTTGTTGATCGTTTCAAACTTACGTTTACTAAATTATTAATCAAATATTTGGTTGAATAAAACAAAGATAAACACAAAAAATGACATGTCCACCTCTCCACTCACCGACACATAAAGCCACTCCACCATTGGTCTGTAAGTGGGACTCGGGCATTGACAGGCTGAAAGCTTACTATTCACTTGAATGGTAAAGTGAATACAGCCTGACAGGCTTCTAACAGCACTCTCACACTGTACATCAACAGCTGCATTTATTTTTCAACACGAATGATAATGTAAAGATAACTTTATTGTGAATATGTCCTGAAATTTTGTAAATATATGATTAGTATGATGGTTGCGATTGTTATTGTGAAAATGGTTGCATTCAATACATTAAATAAAAAAACCTCTTCGAAACGTCCAAAGTCCTTGATGATTGGGGTTTTAAATTAATATTGTTGGCTTAGAGAACCAGCTCATGTATAGCTCGTAACAAAGATACATTTTTACAAATTTGGGATTCATACTATCTGTATTCATAAAAATACACAATCTGGTGTTTGGGCGTTGTATAATAAAATTTACAAATCCAAATGCATGTAAGAAATAGAAGATCGGGTACAGTTAGACACATACTAACAATAGGCAATCCACTTTATATCCTCTGTGTCTTATTATATTTCAAAATATAAAAAATTACAAAAATATAACTATATTAATGATTTATCGTTGTAAGCAAAAAAACCTGTAGAAATACATGATGGATTGAATTTATTTATTCAATGATAAGTAAATGTATTAGCATTTCATGTTGGTAAGCATTATATGAGTATTACTAAACGTTGATAAAACATTCAACAGATAAATTTAAACTGAAGCACCGAGTTACATAATGGGACATGTTGCTTGATGTCACATGAGCGTTTAGCTCAAACCAGAGATTGAGAAATCGCGTGGCTTAGGAGGTTTAGGGGATGAAACTGGTGACGTCAGCAAAATGCCGCTTCAAACCTGTCTTTTTTGGCCATACAGATAACGTAGTAGATTATGAAATATGTCTATTTTTAGCTTATTTATTTTACCTTGTCATAGGCATTGGAATTGGTTATTTAATAATATGCTATTGTTTAGTATTACTAGACGGTTGATCTTTGCAAATAATATTTAAGTTGCTTACCCAATTTCTATACCGATTGAGTATAAGATTTTAGCAACATTGGGAAATTCTCCTCACTTGAAAGACCTGTCACATTTATTTTCCATATAGAATTTTATAGCTCTTTAAGGTGTGCTCTGAAACTTTAGGTCACAACACAGCCACATAGCTTAAAGGAACAAGAATACTGAATAAAGCATGGGACTTCAGTCCCAGAGGTCCTGGGTTCAAATCCTGCAGATCACCAAATGATCTTTTCTAAGAGATAATGCAGCTACCCTCTAGGTTTAGCCTGAAGTAATGTCAAAAAGGTTTTGGCTGAAGCCCTGCTTCCAAGGATGTTTATGTAGGTGAAAAGTATAGAAAATATAACATTAGAAATAAAAATATAGATTGTCTTGAATAAAAAGAGTATAAGTTACCTGAAAAACTATCAATTCGAAAATATTTGGACGGTAAAAGTTATACAGGGTGGCTGAAAAGTAACTTGCACCCTCCCCCCCTTAACTTTTCAACCATTTGAGATATTTGAATTCAGTTTGCGGCAACCTTCTTAGATAAGAGGGGCTACAATAATTATGGTCAATTTTGAAAATTTTGCCCTTAAGGGTAGCGGGGTAAGGGGTAGCTCAAGATTTTCAAATGACAAGTATAGTCGAGTTTGGTATCATTTTACAGGTCTTGACAAAACATAACAAATAACATAAAGAAAATAGAAATCAGACCATTAATAACAAAATGGCAGTTCAAAATTACTTTAAAAAACCATTGTCTCAATCATTTTTAGCTGCAATTTTTTTTATTAATGGTCCGATTTCTATTTTCTTTATGTTATTTGTTATGTTTTGTCAAGACCTGTAAAATAATACCAAATTCGACTATATTTGCTATTTGAAAATTTTGAGCTACCCCTAAGGGCAAAATTTTCAAAACTGACCATAATTATTGTAGCCCTTCATTTCCAAACAAGTTGCCACAAACCGATTTCAAATATCTCAAATAGTTAAAAACTTAAAGAGGGTGAAAGTTATTTTTTTTGCCACCCTCATCGTTATTTGTATTTGAAACGTTTTAGGGCGCCATTTTGTTATTAGTGAGCCGATTTTGATTTTATTTATGCCAATTGTTTATGTTTCGTCAAGGCCTGTAAAATGATACCAAACTCGGCTATACTTGTCATTCGAAAATTTTGAGCAACCCCTTACCCCCGCTACCCCTAAGGGTAACATTTTCAAAATCGACCATAATTATTGTAGCTCCTCATATCTAAGAAGGTTGCCGCAAACCGATTTCAAATATCTTAAATAGTTGAAAAGTTAAGGGGGGTGCAAGTTACTTTTCAGCCACCCTGCATTGTTTTAACTAAACCACAGTAATTAAACAAAATATCCGAATATATTTGATTCAACGATACTGTATATCACGATTTGCACTTCTCTTCGTACAAAGTTCAACTGTATTTTAAGTGATTTCTAATTTGTTTTGCAGGTGTGGCAGGATGGTCGAGAGTTTAAAGGTGGTGTCCGTACTACTAGTTACAGGACTTGTTGTTGGTAAGCAGTTTTAATTGTATATAAATGTAAAAAAAATTAAGTTATAAAAATTTTTACGACTGAGATTTTTGTATGTATGTTTACTTATTCTAGAATAAACTATGTCTATGTCTATGTTATGAGCAATTGCTAAGTGTTCACAATTTTGACTTATAAGTTATTACTTAACATTGTTAAAATTGAGTTGGCTTTATGAATATAAAAATGCCGAAATTGTACCTCACACCCACTCATGAAGAAACTTATTTGGTTTATGGGACAAACCATGATTTCCGTGCAATTCAAATCGGCGATAAAACTATCGACATAACATTAAACGTTTGAACCCACGGTGGATTCTTCATTAGACAACCACTATACTATTCACACACTAACTCTAGATTTATTTATTGTCCTTGTAAAACATACAGCAATGAAGAAATTTACTTTAACCCAAGTGTTGTCATTATAACTAATCAAATATTAAATAATATTTGACCGTTCTCTATCAAAACGTAAAAAATTCCACTGGCGTAGAAACAAAAAAAAAAATATGTTGTTTTGCCAACGTAATAAAATTATATGTATATACGCATGCTACTAGTAAAATATCTTACAAAATAAAAGGAATTATATTTAAAAATAAATATACACACTGTTGTTTTTTACAACAGGGTGTATTTTTCAAAGCTGATATCTGATGTAGTATTTAAAATAGCTATTGGACGAGTAATTTGTTTTCTATTTCTGTTAGAAATAGGTACCCGGGTGTCCCAAAAAGAACTAAACAGTTTTGAAATTTATTTATTTATTGGACAATATAAAAATTACAATAACTGATACATTAAATGAAAAGTTATAAAATAAAAGTTAACTATTGCTTGTACACCTCGAAATGTGAACCATTTAGCCCTGTAGATATCCAAGCGATTTTTACGCATTTTTATTATAATGCTTTTATTTTTATTATTTTGTATTACCATAATTACGTTCAAGGTCAAATCGGTGTACCAAACTTATTACTAACGTACGAAAATAAAACCTACAAGTGTACTTTACTTTACCAAAGGATTATTACTCATCCATATAACTAATACTATCATGAGGTATTTTTGAAACTAGAGAGTTCTTTTTCGGACACCCGGTATACTTCAGGGTAATAATTTATTTTTCATTACTGTTTCAATGTTGTTATTGATATAATTTGTTTAATGAACACTAAGTAAAGGTATTTAAAATACGATTTCCTAATAATACGTACGCAAAATACAACACAAAACCATTGAACCACACTATCAACTAGGGTGATATTGATAATGTTTAATTTTGTAATTTGAAAGATAAAAAAATCATAATTATAAAAAAGATTTTAAGTAAACCTCATAATCTGTATACATTATTTGGTGTTTAGAAAATAAACAGAAAGCTCAAAATGATAAAATTTACCGTTACTTAGACTTTTATTTAATAATTAACAAATATAAAACATACACTGTAAGATGAAATAAAAAGTTTCATTTGAAAATGTAGCTATGTGAATATTTGTTTGCTTTAACAAAAAGATTATATCTATTCAATGGTTTCCTAACTGGTTACTACATGCGGAGCATAATACTATGCATGTGTAGCTTATATGTAATGCAAAGTAATAATTTAAACCCAGTAAGCGGAAAAAGGCTTAGTCCCTGTCAAAGGTACCCATTGTGGCCTTATGAATACAAAATGCTATTTAGGAACATAAATATTGTAAAAGAACCTATTATATACTTATACTGTATTAAGGACATGCAGGATTATTAGGGTTACACATTCGCTTGTTTCCCTTTATTCGCTGTAGCGAGTTTAAAGGAATCTAACAACGAAAATGCATTAGGCTATAAAAAGCGCATTTCTGAACAACCGGAAGGGAGGTTTAATAAACGTATCGAAGTGCTTGGCCTTCAAAGTAAGCAGAACCTTTGTCCCGGAAATAACCTATAGCCTTCTATTGTTTCCACTTTCTACTTTACCCCCCCCCCCTACTCCACCACTGTATCTTTCTCTCTCCCTCTCACTCAACAGCTTTGAAGAATATTCTAACCGACCTCCCCCGCGTAGAAACCGAACACCTTACGGTACAAATAAATGAGGCTGGTTAATGAATATCTTTCTGTTGAAAAATTAAAATGACAAGCTTTTGGGAGGGCGGATTTTTTTCATAGTGATGCTTTTTGTATGACTGAATAACATTAAAAGTATTTGACAGTTACCATGAAAAGATTAAATATATACAGTAGCCCGTAATAAATATAACTAGAGGTCGTCCAGCGGTCGAAAACTCGACCAAAAATATGTAAATGAAATTAAATGAAAAAATTAAAATTATATGAAATGAAAAATTATATATTTATTCAGACAAAGTTAGGGCCACATGGCCGTTTCTTACACTATGTAATGTACAGTGTAAACCCCACACTGTAAATAAATCATGTGATAGGAATTTGTTTTGATTTTTTGTTTATATTTTGTTGTTATTTCGTCACCAATATGGCAACCCATAACTCCCGTGTTATTTTTTTTAAGTTTTCAAATTCATTTTTTGTGATTATTTTTGAGCCAATTTCAATTTATAAAGGGATTCTGCACTTCTACAGGAATAGTATATTTCATTACTAGGACCGAAAGTGGCATTTTCCGTCGCGCGCTCAAGTTTTTGTGTGAGGCGAAGCCGAACACAGGGAACATCAATTTCACGTGCGAGGCGAAGCCGAGTATGTAATAGCTATTTTCACGTACGAGGCGAAGCCGAGGACGGGAATAATGGAGCAAGTGCCGGATAATAACTTTCGGTACGAGTTATGAACGATACTTTTCATCACGACGCAAAAATACACAAACACAGAATAGCATACCTCAGTAATATTACAACTATTTTATTTCTCAATTAATTTGATTGAACATCATAATAAAATAAAATAAAATTTTCTAAAAGGAAACCTACGTTTATTTCTTTATACATTTTGTTTAAATGTCAAAATAAAAGAATAAAACAACTTTGAACAATACATACAGCTGATTCAAATCATTAAATTAAACCATAACAAAACACTAGCGCGCGTAGTGAATAAATGGAGAACTAATTGAGAGCGAGGGAAAGTAAATTTAGAGCGAGGGAAAATCAGCTGATCGATTTTCCCTCGCCCTAAATTAGAGCTTGGGAAACGACTACTTTCATTGATGTCAGCTGTTATCGAAAATAGTTACTTTCGTTACGGAGTGATGAAAAATATCTTTCCAACAGTAAGCGTAGATTTTCCCTGCGATGCACACGAGCTGAGAAAAAAGGTTTTAAAGAAACATGCTTGCCTATTAATATTATACTAGTGGTCGTCCTGTGGTCGAAACTCGACCAAAAATAATTAATGTACAGACTTCTCTATTTTCTCCCCACACTGTAAATAAAACATGTGATTGGAATTTCTTCCATTTTTGTTTTGATTTTCTGTTTACATTTTGTTGTTATTTCGTCACCATCATGGCAACCCATATGGTCCATGTTAATTTTTGAAGTTTTCAAATTAATTTTTTGTTCTTATTTGTTAGCCTATTTTAATTTTTAAAAGCATTCTGCACATCTACAGGAAAATATCTTTCCAAAAGTATGCGTAGATTTTCCCTGCGATGCACACGAGCTGAGAAAAAAGGTTTTAAAGAAACATGCTTGCCTATTAATATTATACGAGAGGTCGTCCAGTGGTCGAAACTCGACCAAAAATATGTAATGTACTCACTTATCTATTTTCACCCCACACTGTAAATAAAACATGTGATTGGAGTTTCCTCCATTTGTTTTGATTTTCTGTTTATATTTCGTTGTTATTTCGTAACCAGCATAGCAACGCATAAGATCCATGTTAATTTTTTTCAAATTTTTAAACTCATTTTTCGTGCTTATCTTTGAGCCTATTTAAATTTATAAAGGGATTCTGCACACCTACAGGAAAATAGCTTTCCAACGGTATGCGTAGATTTTCCCTACGATTCACACGAGCTGAGAAAAAAGGTTTTAAAGAAACATGCTTGCCTATTAATATATAGATAGATAGATAGATATATATAGATGTTACAGTTCAACTGTCGTATGTAGTAGCCTCATTGTACTATAAATATAGTTTCAATATATCTGTAATTATAATGAACCTTTTATGAATTATACTTTTAGAACCAGCATTTCCCTTTCAATAGTCTCATCAGTTTTCACAAATGCGAATTCATATTGAACTGCTATAAAATGAAACTTTTTTAAAGATACGTGACCATGTAAACTTAGAGCTATTTAACAGATACGCAAAGCTTTAAAGTTAGTTGTAGTTAAGAAATCGATAAATGTACAACATTTTTCCAAGCAAATAGTTAATTTAATATAATAAGTCCTTGACATGCACTAGGAAGCGATAAATATGTCAGATTACATGGGTTTACCATATTAGTGGAACATGTTTATACGACAAATAATAAGTTTCAAGGTATAGTGTGCAGTGCATGTGTCTACATAAAGTTACTTCGCTAAGTGCGAATCTAACGACACACGAGACTTATGTTTCAGAGTAATGCACGTTTCAGTCCACCTAAAGTGAACTCGTTACGAGTTACTAGTCTTTGATGTCACGTAATATATGTTTCAGAGTGCAGAATGCACGTGTCGGTCCATCTGAAGGTACCTCGCTACGTGCTGCTAGGCTCGCACGTTCTGCTCAAGTGTGAATACAACGTTGAGAAGGACCAACTTCACAAGGTGGAGTGGCTAAAACACGGCCACAAGATCTTTCAGTTCGTCAACGGACGAAAACCTCCTTTTAGAAACTTTACACTGCATGGAGCTCAGATTGATGTAAGTGAGAACAAATATTTTTCACCCTCATTTTCATTCAACGGGGAGCCTATATATGTGTAATTTTGCTTATCCATAAATGTTACTCTTTAATTATGTAATTGTATGCTAACACAAACTAATTTGTATCCCTTTTGCAGCTTACAATATAAAATCATTTATGTATTCTGTCATTTAAACTATGAAGGTAAGGATATTTCTGTAGTAATGAGAATAGAAGGCAGCAATGGCGGCGCTGTATGGAAGTTAAAGTAGATCGTAATTATTTATGAACTGGCAATGGCTCCCTACTCACCCTGGTGTTTAACATTCTCGTCAAACTGTGATTTAGTTTCCACTTAACCTGATGTGATCTAATATATAATCATAATCAAAGTTTGATAGACGATTTTAATAATGTCACTTTGATAAGTATGATTATTTTCTTGAATACAATAGTATAAATATACTGTAGCACTTGCAAAATATTAACTAATATATGTATTCTGAATGCTATATGTTCCAAACGATTTTCTGATAAACCTTGTATATCTTTTATTTACTCATACAATACCAACTTAAATCCATGATAATAAACACAAATGATTACTGTATAGTGTATAGTACCATTATTGTATTCTAATAGTTTTTTATAAATTGTTGATGTGTCTTTGAGATCTTAAAAAACACATTAAAAATAATATTGTACGCATATGAAAGACTATGTAATGAGATTGTTTAAAAACAATATGAAGAATGTGTTTTATGGGAGTTACTAAAGTAGATGGTAGATTGATTATGGTTTGATAATTCAAGTGCCTAAAAGAAAAATTTCCCCAATTACCGAGAACTATGTAATGACCATCTATTTATAAATTTTGTTGTATTAAATCATTTGTTGAAGCTTTTGAATATATATATATATATTTTAAGGAAACCCTACACCAAACCTAAAAACACCTTTTTTTTGGTAAAAGGGCCAATTTTCATCTATAGTGAACGTTATAGATTTTACAAATGAAATTGACAGTTGATTTATACAGAATTATGTTTTAGTTATTTATAATTTCAGCATCTTAGAACTATGCCAGTATTTTGTGTGGTGGGGATCGAGCTGGTCTAGTGGTTAGAGCGCGAGACTTCGGTCCCTGAGGTCCAGGGTTCAATTCCCGTCATATCACCGATGGATTTTATCTAAGTAATAAAGCCGCAACTCCTAGGAATAGCCTGAAGTAATGTGAAAAACAATCCCAGGCTCGTGCCTAGCGTCCTAGGATAAAAATATAGTATTTTGTTTGGTACCATTATTAAAAGTACAAAAATATGTTACAGTAGGATATAGTACCAAATCCTTAAAATACTACATGTTTAGTACTACTTAAACGTCACCAGATACATGTATGTAATATTCCGTAATTCCAAGTGATTTCATAATAATCACTTAATGACAACTGTATTGTGTGCATTGCCCAATAGTAATTACAATATTTAACTAATATTTATTTTACAACATTATTTAATATTTACCTGGCTGGTTCCGTTTATATATGTTTGAAAGTTAAAAAAAGCACACAAAAATTAAATAAACATATAAATAACATGTTATCAGTAAACATCTACAAACAGTGTATGTGTCTACGACTACCTTTATTTAATTTCGCGGCATTGCTGCAAATATTTTCATTACTTCTTAAGCAAATTTATGTTAATTCTTACCAACATAATGAATTACCTGTCTACTAACTCGTTCATAAAGAAACAACAATGGCCGTATACCTCTATCCTACGGTTAGAACACTCGAGCAGTAATTCATTTTGGAGGGAAGGTAAAGGCGGGAACAAAGGTTGTGGAGCATTTCGCGAGGAAGGGCGGGTCCTAATGGTTGTCAGTTAACTCTGTTAATGTCACAAACCCTCCCTTTGTACGCCAGGCTGAGAGGAAAAGGGCGAAGTGAACTACAAATTGGGGGTTAATCAGATTCCAGCAACGGGGTTTAAAATGTAGTCTCGTTGATGTATTTTTATATCTTACTAATAGCCTATTATAAATCTGAAAGTTTGTGAGTTTGTGTGTGTGTGTGTGTGTTGCTCAATCACGCATAAACTACTGGACGGATTGGGCTGAAATTTGGCATGATGATAGCTCACATTCCTGATTAACATTAAAGCATATTATTATCCCAAAAATCCTTTCGGGCTCCGCCCCAGTGGCTCTGTAGTTCCCCATGTTAACCTTATGGTTTTTCATATTTAAAAGGAATTAATGAATCTTAACAGCTGTTTCAATTAAACAAGTTGGTTCTGTTCTATGATGTTCAATAGCATAAAAGTTACAAGGATTACCAACAGGGTGCAGCACTATTATTTTTTTTATTTATGACAACAGCTAATTTCCAACCAAAAGGTGAGTGAGCGTAGCGAACGAACTTCAACCTGGAGGCGAGTTAGCGTAGCGAACGAGCTAACCTGAAGGCAAGTGAGCGCAGCGAACGAGCTCCAACCTAAAGGTGAGTGAGCGTAGCGAACGAACTTCAACCAGAACGTGAATGAGCCATGCGAATACTTATGAAGTTAAACGGGGCAAAACCCGCGGGTACAGCTAGTAATAATATAAAAGAAATAATACAATGTTTGATGAGACATACATACGCATTCCTATGAGATATCTTTTGAATGTGAGAAATTAAAGTTAATACGTAAATTATTGAATTAAAATATATTTCAACCAATTTTTTTTTTATATGTTTAGTAGACTTTTTTTTAATTATCATTCGAATAACATACTACTTAATACCATTATAATGTTGACTAAATGGAAAGTCATCAGAAGGACTATTTAAAATTTAACGTGTACGAACATTTGCAATCGATAAAGGGAAGCTGATTTCGACTAATTAATTCGGTATACGCAAAAAACTAAGCTAGAAAATGCATAAACCATCAACTTGACAAATCTAATCCCTTACGAGAAATTATGGTAATTTATTTAATTAAAATTTTCGTCTATGATTAAGCTTTAATAAGAATCAAATATTTTTCTGGGGATGATAATAGTTAAGAGTTCTCTACAGCTGCTGATTGAATCACTGTTCGACTCTGATCCCAGCTACACGGAAACCTTTAGCGATTTATATATATACTCTTTTATTAGTAATAAGCGGTTGTGGAACAGTAACGTTTTTATTCATTGCCTTATTTTCACTCCAAACCTAACAGCACACCTTGAACTACTAGACGAGACTTTGACCTTGACTGTTAGTGACGTAGTTGTTACTTATTTTAACCATATTGATCGCACGAAATAAAACAAGGCTAAAGAAGACCTGTAACCCAGAGCAGCCTTGGTGAGATCTCTACTCACTCAAAGGTTATGATCTTGTTACTTAAAATGTATTACAAATATTTTGTAAATCTGCAGGATAACTTAATTTTTATTTTGGTTATTTATGTGTATAGTGGGCGCAGAGCAACGAACAGCAAGTTCGACTGAAGATTCTCGACTTTGACGCCTCAGGCATTTACAGCTGTGAGGTGACTACTGAGACGCCCATCTACACAAAGGCGTCTGAAGACGAGGAAGTCACTGTGATCAGTGAGTATTAACATAGACGAATAGAATATAGACCAACAGCAGTGATGTGTTTAGCATAAATTCTGGCGTCCACTGCTAGGAGTGCCGTGTAGTTAATGCGCACCCGCTACGTAACTACACGACACTCCTAGCGGTAGACGCAATAACTTATGCTAACCACAGCACTGTTGTCGTTCTGATTTAGTACTATTAATCGATTGCATTTAATTATTAGTTGTAGCTTTAGTAAAAGGATTTTAGAAGTTGCAAACCCATTTTTAATTAAAAAATCCAAAATAATGCGTAAGCTCGTTTTGGAAATTGTTTAGCAGTCTTAATGATTCAGAAGAAATATGTAAACTGTTACAACTTAGAGAGCTGAAAGCACAAGAAATACGTGAAAAAACACTTGTATTTACTCACAAGACGGTAAAAGATGGTAAATGTTGATCGATTTCGATTGGACACTCCCAATCGTCATCAGACCCAATAGGCGAATCTTCGTGGCAAGTGTATAATCGTAATCGATTACCCACTCACCATCATTTATATGTATTTACCGCCTTGTGAGTAAACAGTATAAGTGTAGCACGAGCATTGTATTACATTTAAAAATTATACAGTTGCGAAATACTAACCTACGTACTACCAAATAATTTTAACTGACTAATGAAAGAAAGATCTAAAAACTACATTTGTTTATTGTTTACTATCGATAGTAGAAGACACGATGGTATTTTATTTAGAGACTTTATATTCCTTGATACAGAGAAGCAGATAGAGGACCCGACAATCACCTACTGGAAGACGGAGTACACTGTTGGAGAACGACTAGAGGTGAATTGTACCTCTGGCCAGTCCAGGCCTACCCCGGAGGTCACGTGGCTGCTCAACGGAAAACAGGTGAGGAGATCTAATATACTTATATTTACTCATTGTTCTTGAATTATTGTGGACGGACTCATCAATTTTGATGTTTATTTGTTTTCACGTCCAGTGCCTTTGGATGACTGAAATCTGTCATCGCATGCTGATTGGTTCCTGGAATCTGGAACCCAATTTCAGCTGTCTCTAGTAGACATTTCTGAATTTCGATATGACTAATCAAAGTCATTTTAAACTTAATTGAGGTATAATTAATAAATATACATAGTCTCTGTGAAAATTTTGAAAAGTAGGGCACTCTTGACATTGTGGATTGCTAAATTCTTCCACTGTCACACAGAGTTTGTAAAAGCGAGTCGAACGCTCGTACTGCCCAGTGAATGCTGGAATCTCGTAATGAACACGTTCCACGCAAATCACATTTACTGTTGTCTCATGGTGGTCTTCGGACCTATCCATGACTGAAGAGACTAAAATAAAGTCGAAACAACAGAGCACACTTCTAATCCTGAAAGATGGATTAGTCGTATTGGACATAGCGCAGGCTCAATCAAATTTCGAATCTACATACCACACACGAACATGGATCGTACACACCCGAGACGGTACGTGTGACAATCTCAATGCTCGGAGAGGTTGAGATTTTGGTTTTGTAATTTGAAAGAACATTCAAAAGAATGTAATTGAAAATTGGCAAGGGATTCGTCCCATTTACCTTCAAAAAGATTAACCTGTAATGAAGCGCTTGTCTTATCCCCTCACAATAACGCGTAACCGGGTTTTAGACGTAGGGCAGATGCTGATCTTAATTGCAGCTATCAACCACGAAAGCTATATGCTGTGGGAACCCTCACGATCGCCGGATAGGCAGATGCCGCCCACACGAATTGTGTAGAAGAGCCTAAACGTGCTACTGTTTGATGATATCAGTGATTCTAAATTGCAGTCTGATTGAGAAGACTGACCAGCTCCGCTGGATTTGCAACTACATCACCTGTCACAATCACTTTAACCAATTAATAATTTTGAGTGACTTGTAACATTAGGTGCAAGTGTTTGGCTTCGCAACCTTCTAAAATTCTAAATTAATTTTGCAGGTTAGATGTATTGGTCACGAAACTCGTTCTTGGGGTTATACGTGCGAAAAGACGCCCTAGTGGCGGAATCACTCTTGCAACGTAAAAGGTGCGATTGTACGCATAACGATATCATCTGTTTCGGTCTCAGGGCTAGATAGCCCATACCTCATCAGGTGCACACTTTAGTGCACGACAGATTGAATTATAATGTGTTGAGGACGGATTAAATTTTTCATCGTCCAACTGAAATTTTGAATTTTGATGTTTCTAAATTTTGAAAAGATGAAATTGTCAACTTAGAGTTGACCAGGCACACCTGAGTATTTACTCATTGTTCTTGAATTATTGTGGACGGACTCATCAATTTTGATGTTTATTTGTTTTCACGTCCAGTGCCTTTGGATGACTGAAATCTGTCATCGCATGCTGATTGGTTCCTGGAATCTGGAACCCAATTTCAGCTGTCTCTAGTAGACATTTCTGAATTTCGATATGACTAATCAAAGTCATTTTAAACTTAATTGAGGTATAATTAATAAATATACATAGTCTCTGTGAAAATTTTGAAAAGTAGGGCACTCTTGACATTGTGGATTGCTAAATTCTTCCACTGTCACACAGAGTTTGTAAAAGCGAGTCGAACGCTCGTACTGCCCAGTGAATGCTGGAATCTCGTAATGAACACGTTCCACGCAAATCACATTTACTGTTGTCTCATGGTGGTCTTCGGACCTATCCATGACTGAAGAGACTAAAATAAAGTCGAAACAACAGAGCACACTTCTAATCCTGAAAGATGGATTAGTCGTATTGGACATAGCGCAGGCTCAATCAAATTTCGAATCTACATACCACACACGAACATGGATCGTACACACCCGAGACGGTACGTGTGACAATCTCAATGCTCGGAGAGGTTGAGATTTTGGTTTTGTAATTTGAAAGAACATTCAAAAGAATGTAATTGAAAATTGGCAAGGGATTCGTCCCATTTACCTTCAAAAAGATTAACCTGTAATGAAGCGCTTGTCTTATCCCCTCACAATAACGCGTAACCGGGTTTTAGACGTAGGGCAGATGCTGATCTTAATTGCAGCTATCAACCACGAAAGCTATATGCTGTGGGAACCCTCACGATCGCCGGATAGGCAGATGCCGCCCACACGAATTGTGTAGAAGAGCCTAAACGTGCTACTGTTTGATGATATCAGTGATTCTAAATTGCAGTCTGATTGAGAAGACTGACCAGCTCCGCTGGATTTGCAACTACATCACCTGTCACAATCACTTTAACCAATTAATAATTTTGAGTGACTTGTAACATTAGGTGCAAGTGTTTGGCTTCGCAACCTTCTAAAATTCTAAATTAATTTTGCAGGTTAGATGTATTGGTCACGAAACTCGTTCTTGGGGTTATACGTGCGAAAAGACGCCCTAGTGGCGGAATCACTCTTGCAACGTAAAAGGTGCGATTGTACGCATAACGATATCATCTGTTTCGGTCTCAGGGCTAGATAGCCCATACCTCATCAGGTGCACACTTTAAAGTGTGCATAAAGTGTGCACCTGATGAGGTATGGGCTATCTAGCCCTGAGACCGAAACAGATGATATCGTTATGCGTACAATCGCACCTTTTACGTTGCAAGAGTGATTCCGCCACTAGGGCGTCTTTTCGCACGTATAACCCCAAGAACGAGTTTCGTGACCAATACATCTAACCTGCAAAATTAATTTAGAATTTTAGAAGGTTGCGAAGCCAAACACTTGCACCTAATGTTACAAGTCACTCAAAATTATTAATTGGTTAAAGTGATTGTGACAGGTGATGTAGTTGCAAATCCAGCGGAGCTGGTCAGTCTTCTCAATCAGACTGCAATTTAGAATCACTGATATCATCAAACAGTAGCACGTTTAGGCTCTTCTACACAATTCGTGTGGGCGGCATCTGCCTATCCGGCGATCGTGAGGGTTCCCACAGCATATAGCTTTCGTGGTTGATAGCTGCAATTAAGATCAGCATCTGCCCTACGTCTAAAACCCGGTTACGCGTTATTGTGAGGGGATAAGACAAGCGCTTCATTACAGGTTAATCTTTTTGAAGGTAAATGGGACGAATCCCTTGCCAATTTTCAATTACATTCTTTTGAATGTTCTTTCAAATTACAAAACCAAAATCTCAACCTCTCCGAGCATTGAGATTGTCACACGTACCGTCTCGGGTGTGTACGATCCATGTTCGTGTGTGGTATGTAGATTCGAAATTTGATTGAGCCTGCGCTATGTCCAATACGACTAATCCATCTTTCAGGATTAGAAGTGTGCTCTGTTGTTTCGACTTTATTTTAGTCTCTTCAGTCATGGATAGGTCCGAAGACCACCATGAGACAACAGTAAATGTGATTTGCGTGGAACGTGTTCATTACGAGATTCCAGCATTCACTGGGCAGTACGAGCGTTCGACTCGCTTTTACAAACTCTGTGTGACAGTGGAAGAATTTAGCAATCCACAATGTCAAGAGTGCCCTACTTTTCAAAATTTTCACAGAGACTATGTATATTTATTAATTATACCTCAATTAAGTTTAAAATGACTTTGATTAGTCATATCGAAATTCAGAAATGTCTACTAGAGACAGCTGAAATTGGGTTCCAGATTCCAGGAACCAATCAGCATGCGATGACAGATTTCAGTCATCCAAAGGCACTGGACGTGAAAACAAATAAACATCAAAATTGATGAGTCCGTCCACAATAATTCAAGAACAATGAGTAAATACTCAGGTGTGCCTGGTCAACTCTAAGTTGACAATTTCATCTTTTCAAAATTTAGAAACATCAAAATTCAAAATTTCAGTTGGACGATGAAAAATTTAATCCGTCCTCAACACATTATAATTCAATCTGTCGTGCACTAAAGTGTGCACCTGATGAGGTATGGGCTATCTAGCCCTGAGACCGAAACAGATGATATCGTTATGCGTACAATCGCACCTTTTACGTTGCAAGAGTGATTCCGCCACTAGGGCGTCTTTTCGCACGTATAACCCCAAGAACGAGTTTCGTGACCAATACATCTAACCTGCAAAATTAATTTAGAATTTTAGAAGGTTGCGAAGCCAAACACTTGCACCTAATGTTACAAGTCACTCAAAATTATTAATTGGTTAAAGTGATTGTGACAGGTGATGTAGTTGCAAATCCAGCGGAGCTGGTCAGTCTTCTCAATCAGACTGCAATTTAGAATCACTGATATCATCAAACAGTAGCACGTTTAGGCTCTTCTACACAATTCGTGTGGGCGGCATCTGCCTATCCGGCGATCGTGAGGGTTCCCACAGCATATAGCTTTCGTGGTTGATAGCTGCAATTAAGATCAGCATCTGCCCTACGTCTAAAACCCGGTTACGCGTTATTGTGAGGGGATAAGACAAGCGCTTCATTACAGGTTAATCTTTTTGAAGGTAAATGGGACGAATCCCTTGCCAATTTTCAATTACATTCTTTTGAATGTTCTTTCAAATTACAAAACCAAAATCTCAACCTCTCCGAGCATTGAGATTGTCACACGTACCGTCTCGGGTGTGTACGATCCATGTTCGTGTGTGGTATGTAGATTCGAAATTTGATTGAGCCTGCGCTATGTCCAATACGACTAATCCATCTTTCAGGATTAGAAGTGTGCTCTGTTGTTTCGACTTTATTTTAGTCTCTTCAGTCATGGATAGGTCCGAAGACCACCATGAGACAACAGTAAATGTGATTTGCGTGGAACGTGTTCATTACGAGATTCCAGCATTCACTGGGCAGTACGAGCGTTCGACTCGCTTTTACAAACTCTGTGTGACAGTGGAAGAATTTAGCAATCCACAATGTCAAGAGTGCCCTACTTTTCAAAATTTTCACAGAGACTATGTATATTTATTAATTATACCTCAAT